ATTGCTGGTTATGGCTCTGAGGCTTTCAAGACAAACTTCTACATTTGGTGTTGTTTTCAAGTCTCATTTACGAATTGGGAGCCAAAAGGAACTTGAAGAATTTACAGTTTTGACCTGAAAGCCTCAGAGCCATATCAGAATATTGATACATTGAATGCGGCCTCTAGTCTGACTCCTATTTTGTTAGATAACTCAAATCAACAAAAGCACTTGTTTATTAGCGATAGTAAAAAATATCAAGAAAGTGAAAAATGAAAAAAGTGCTTTGTCTTCAGCCTGTCCTTTACTTGGCATGATTAGGATCGGTACAAATCTCTGCTTTTAAAGTCACTACAGGTTGTATTAGTTTTAGTTTGTGTCATTCTTTGTGGTCTTCTGAGCCTTTCACCTGAGTTCAGCCATCTGGCAACTGCTCTGGTGGCATTGTAATCAGAGTGATTAGGCCCACTTAGTGCAATGAAACATCAAGGCATGCACTGTGGATACATCAAGGCTAGATCTAAAATCTGGTCAGTTTCTTGGCGTAGTTTGTAGCTCTGCCCTGCATCTCAGTGCTGCTATCCCTTACTTCACTAGCACATTAAAAGTGCATGACAATTAACTTGTAGTTTTTAGTGAGCAACACACTGAGTGCTCTCCCTAGATGAGTTATCTACCTTGAGCTGTCTGCTTTTACAGTCTTGTAAGCTCTTTCATCCATTAACTCTCCTAGCTCTTTTAGCTTACGCACAGCTTTGCAGGAGTTGGTCCATGAGCCAGTAGGGCAGGTTGGTATTATCCAGGGTGATAAGGTTTATAGTGGTTTTCTAGTAGATTGGACCGTAAATAGCAGGGAAAAGCATGATAGCAATGATTCTATGGTAGCTAGTGGATAACAGTGCTCTTAAAAGTATGGTTCAGGCATGGAAACGAGGTTCAAGCTTGTTTTGTGTTTAGTAGCTTCAGTTGCCCACCAAAATGAACAAAACACTTGCACAACGGAACCATTGTTTCACAGATAATTTTTTTAATTACAAATGGTTCATTTCATTAGTCATGAGAGCAGAACACGACTTGGGCATGGAAATGAGGCTGAAGTTGGTTTGACAATTATGTGTGTTCATTAGCTTAAAATGTGAATCAAAATCTGCAAAACACTTATTAAGCAGTATCATTGCTCTACAACTGCATCATCTTTATATTATTGCGCCATTTATCACGTCGTTTGCATCATTAGACACATGACCAGGGCCTTTAAAATGACACTATTACATGACAAACAATATTAAGGCTGTACTACGCGAGTCACTCCAATCCATTTTAATTCAATCTGCTCTATTTAGTGTTTGTGGCAGTCTTCCTGACTTTTTTAGCGTGGGTATGGCTAAGAATATCATTCAAGTAAATGAGTCTCGTGAACCAACTTCTCTATTTACCAGTAGGCATACATAGAAAGTATACATAAAAGCATTTGTGAAACTTGACAGGAACTTCGTAAGCGTTCATTTTAATATTCCTCATCACTGTCTGTTCCATCGTCATCATCAGCACTCTCAATCTCTTGAACATAACCTTGGTTCTCACATTGAGCGAGCCTGCACATATCAGTGCATCTTAGGCCCTTTGTGACACAGACACATTTAGGGGCGACGCACTTTTTATTGCAGTTGCACGCTTATAGCTCGAGTATGTCCTCTTGTGCTGCTTTTACATCCATCCAGTCAACAACTAACTTGGCAACATGTTCAATCTTCCATTTGCGCCCAACAGGAGTCGGTACTTGTTGGTCTTTCTCTAAACACCATTTCCATATGGCAACCTGATAATTTGCTCTCTTGGCATGCTTCACAAGACGATCTCTGCAAGGAGGAAGCTGTTGGCTTTCTATCTAACCTCTTCTTGAACAAAACAGTTGGTACTTCAGCTCATTGACTTTCGTGGTGACCGTGTTCTTAAAGTAAAGAAGATACGTAAGTTCCTCTAATTTATCTGTCAATTCACAAGGTAAGTCCCAATCTTTTCCCAGCTCAGTTGATGCTTATCAGCCCTTTTTGTTCTTCTGTAATATCTTCAACGCTTGTGCTTTTTCCCTTTTCCACAAATGCGCTTACAGTATCACACCCAGTGAATGCATGCATCCAGAGAACACCTTTGCACACTTCTGGACCAAGTGAGGCAGCGACTTCTGTAATGTGGACAACCTTTGTTCACATACGAGTCCTAGATTTCATGAACAGAGAGGCTCCTATCTCATTGCTTAATGCGAAGGACAGGATAAATACATCTGTGTCTTCCGAACAGATGAGAACAGAGTTAAAGCCCTCATTAGCTGCATGAGAAGTGTGGAGCAGAAGGCATCCATCTGCTCTTCCTGTTGGAACCTTCCATGGTGATTCTGTAGCATGTATTACCAGCATTAGCATACAACAGTTTCCCCTCCAACTTCTGTCTGCATGCTTCCTCCCTCCACTCTTTAATGATGAAAGTGATAAGACTCGTCTTATTGCTCACTCATGTCAGGAAATTTGTATCGCCAACAATTTGTAATAACAATTCTATTCTTCTGAAGTTCGATAACCAAAAAGTCTTCCATAAAATAGGCCATACTTAATAATCACTAAATAACCGATGAGTAATCAATAGCATGAAGAATAAACGATAGGCCAAAGTATTTTTGGTCAACATTAAAATTGCTCTTCGACAACATACGGTGAAAATTTAGTGGTGATGGCAGAAGCGTGAAAAAAAATAACTAGCCATAACAGGAGTCTCACTGCATGATAAAACTCAAACTAGTAAATGATTAAAAATTTAAACTTATTTTCATACGAGAACTTGGTGTATAACATTGCCACTCAGCTCAAAACCTTTGTGAGTAACATACCCGTATAACTATTTTTGTCTTATGGATAAACTCTTTAGTTATTAAAACGGTGAAGGCAGTTGATTGAGAGTTAAAAAAGCTTACCATCTTGAATTCGGTTGGAAAAAGTTTTTCGTTTGGATTACAGCCTAGTAAAAAAATGACTACTTGTCAGAGTTTGAGGGCCTTGTTGAAGAAAATATTTCAACTAGAACCCTTTTGCACAAATTATTATTATTATGATAATAAGTACAGTTTAGGAAAGTACAGTTACTGACACCAATGTTAAGAAATAACTCAAATGTATGCTATTTTAAGGCTTATGACAGGGCAGTCTCGGGTATTGAGTTGTTTGCACATGGATGACATAATGTGTCAATCTTATCTATATGGATCTCTAATTCAATTAGGAACATGTGAATTTTGCATGCTTTGAAATTTTCAAATCATAGTGTACCTCTGTAATGTGAATAACAACATACCTGGGGTCTAATGACATTAAAATTGTGATCCAGGCCTGCAAGCATGGTGCCAACTTTCATTACTTCATGAGAGAAATGTGTCAGCTTAGGAAGATACTTCAGGAACAATTAATGGTAAACCTCCAGAGGTTTAGTGTGGACAAAGTCTACAAGGTGAGCAAGATCCTTCAAAAGAGCCTTGTCTTTAACAATATTCACCAGTGCAGTGTGTGCAGAACTTCCAGTCTTAAGCCATTTCTCCTTTCGCTGCTGCTCAGTGGGAAGTGGATCATATTCAAACTTATGAAAATGTTAAGTGAGTGACTGATAGGCACTTCTCCCGCAAAACATCAGGAATTTTGCCACAGGATTCTGCACACCACCACAGATGATTCACAATGGAAGGAATCCATGCTGCCAACTCAGAGCAGCCTGATTTCTTTGATGCTGCAGACAGCTTCTTGCTAACAGACTTGGCAACATGCCATGAGTCAAAAGCATGCCGGATGTTACCATGGTTGACCCTCATTTCCTTTTTTATCTGAGGATGTCTGTCAGTGGGAATTACAGCAACCTTTATGCCATCACTTTTTGACTTTCAACGTCAAGAAATGTACAAGTACAGTATTTTCCACAGTGGCTTCGTGAATCACAACGACCATCATCTGCCAAAACGGCTCTACTTTCTCTGGACTTTAAAGTGGAGAACACTTTGGCCTGTTCTTCTTCCCAAGTGGTTTTAACAACTGGAAAGATATACTGTTCTCACAAGTTGTAGTATGTGCCTTTGCCAATAAACTTGAAGTTGATAAGACTTGAAAATGACTCAAACTTAGCAAAGGGTATACCTGAAAAACAAAATCCCAGCGGTAAAGAGCAAATTTCCTGCCCTCTAATATCACCCAGTGGGGGGCTGTGACTGCCACTTGTAATCACAATAATTGTTCAAACAGTTCAAGTTCAGCGAAAGCTGGGACCCTTCATTCTGAATTTCAATGTTGGCCTCGGGAACTATAGGTGATCTGCAGCTAGGACAAAAGTGCAACAGTTCCCTTAACTTATCCTCATAAACAAGAAAAATCTGCTCCTTAGAATAGCTGGCGTCCATTACTATATCCTGCTCCTGTGAACAGAACTGTTCATCTTCATCGTCACTTGGCAATCTACTGGTCACATGACCTATAAATTAGCATAATTTGCTTTGAAAAGTGATTAAAAAATAGCACTTTACTATAGATTGAGTTCACACACCAAAAAGAACTCCAACAGCAGCCAATGAGTAGAGCGCAGGAAGTTGACTTGTTATTTAGAAAAAAATAATGACTTGACTTGAATGAAATGCAGTACAGTTACTGTGATATGCCTTAAAAGTAATCAATTCCTTGTATGCAAGGCAGTTTTAGGCAAATAATTTGGATATATCAACAAAGTTGAAATGGTAAATTGGCCACCGTAATGATTGCAAAAGCTGACGTTTCGAGCGTTAGCCCTTCGTCGGAGCGAATAGAGGAATTGTGGGTTGTGTGTGCTTTTAAAGGCAGAAAATGGAGCTACGTTATTGGTGGGTGCATGGCAACGAGAAAAACATGACTAAATTAGTGGAATGAAATAGCGAATGTTATTAGCAACTTCAATTTCATGGCTATTAATTGTCTTCTTTGTCTGGGTCCACCTTGACCTAAAGGCCTACCAGCTCTTTATGGCTTTAGTCTTGAAGGACCCTGGCCACATTCCTCATCATTAAAGATACACTGATCCATGGTGTGATACTTCTCAAAGCAAGGGGTGGGGCACATGTAGGTGTCACACAATTCACACATGTATGGTGTTAACACTCTCTGAATATGAACCTTGCATGCACATCTCTTCTTTGCTTTAAGAGGAAAGTGACCCAAGTTAAGATTTCTGCGAATTATTGGGTCAGCGGGAACTTGTGGTGAATCATGCCTGTAGGGTCTGCCCCCATGGAGACCCTGGTTTATATCAAGTCGAAATTGCATCATTGATGTTTCCTTGGCATGAAAGCAGCAATGTAAAACATATGCTGTTAGAATTGATACCTCTTGTAGATGGTAAAACTGTTTCAGGTACCAAGCCCACCCTTTCATCAGTCTGGCATATGCTGTGGTTCTCTGGTCAGTCAAATTGACCCCGCCTAGGTGTGAGTTGTATTCCTTTATGGGTACAGGACACTGAAACTCCTTTTTTTGCCACACATTTGCCTCCCTAATATCTCTTTGGACAGAAACTGTGTCTACTGATGCTGGCAGTGTTGTTATAAGAGTTACTGCACTTTGCTGTTTCAGCATAATCACCAGAGGCAGTTAACATTAAAAGCCGTCCTATAGTATAACACTGCTCTTGCTAAGTTATGCCACGTTCAAAGGAGGGTTGTATGTTGCCATGGAAGACTTTGCCACAACTGACCTGTTTGGCCTGGATATGTCCAAAACCTGTTCAATGGTGTTCTACCTGAAGTAGAATGGAAGAAGACCTTTCGAATGGACCAGGAAACCTTCATGGAAGTTGCTGACAAATTACGACTTTACCTTCAACCCGACAGAAGTCCATGGGGTCTGGATGTGTTATCAGTGGAGAAACAGCTCGGAATAACTTTGTATTATTTGAAGGATCAAGGTTCTCTAATGATGACAGCTGATACTTTTGGAGTGGCACTCTACACAGCCTCAGTGGTTGCTGGGGGACTGGGTTACCATCTCACAAGATTCTATTAACAAATTATTACAAATGTGATATAAGTCTATTGCGATAATTCGTTAAGCTTTGACGTCATTGCGGGAAAAAAACTTATTTGAAATCGTTTTGTCCTACATTTAAAAAGAGTCAAGTTATTGCTGGAGCGCAGCTGACGGCCGTGTGCGTCTAGTCTTTTCTGTGGAATTAATGATGACAACTGTGAGTTTTTAATTTTCTTGAACTGTTCGAGGCAAAGACGTTCCCTATTTTCTTCCAGTGTGGGGTAATTCAAAACATTACATGCAGTTCTGTAAGAAATTAGTGGTTCGATTATCCTGAAAGCTCTTCTTTGTATCTGTTCTAAATTGTCCACAAGGTAAGATGGAAGGCTAGAATGCCATACCGGGCATGCGTACTCCAAAACAGAACGTATTAGAGCAGTATAGACACTAAGTAAATCCTTGGGTGGAAGGCCATTGCGGCGCAGGACACGAAGGATATAAAGTCGCTGAGCAGCTTTCTTTGTAATGCTAAGAATGTGACTACGCCATTTTAGATCATCC